CTGCCTGAATACCTCTTCCACAGTGAAGCATAGAAGAAGCTTGTAAAGGTTTAGACTCTGATCTTGGGAGTCCGTCCTCCAGTGCATGACACATGAATGGCAGACCAGAGCTCACCCTTCTCACCGCATGATAAACTGCTCCGTGATTAGAAGTTGCCCAATGTAGTCAGTCATCAGTGCTCCCAACTGTGCTGGCAGCAAGTGATACTCTCAGCAAACCTAACCTGAGGACAGGAATCACCAGAAGATGATGACCCTTCCAGCTTTAGCTATTTCAAATTTATGACCTTTTTTAAATTTCCTAGACAGTTGGGCTCCTGCCTGTCTTGGCTAAAAAACACTGCAGCTCTGTTACTTTCATGGTATGACTGAGCCCATGTTCAAAGAGGCGAAGTCTTGGCTTTATGGAAACTGTTTTTTGTTATACAACTCAGTAATTTTACTGAACCACCCTGCAGTTTGTATTTCCTGTTTTTGTTCTCTTCAGATGCCAGAAGGCAAGCACTTCATAACTGTTAAAGATCAAGCGTTTTTCTTTTCTTTTCTTTTTTTCGTCATGCAATGTTTAAGCATATAGGAGTCTGGAATAAAAGAATGGCTTAGCAGCTTGGAGGTATAAAATTGCCTAGTAGAGTAATGAACATTACCTGGATACTTAGAAGCAAGGACACGCTGATTTGGTTACTTTTTAATAATTCAAGGTAACTTCACTGTTCTAAGTGTGGAGACTGAGCTAATGAGGCTAATGAATACCTGCCTGGCAATGACTAAAACTCCCATAAATGTCTTGCACCTGCATCTCTGCAAACAAATCCTACATCTGCCTCCAAAAACTTCTGAGAGGGAGGCGGTATGGGTTAGGGGGAAGGGTTGTACATGCAAAATGTGTATGTGTGCACAGGTCAACTTGTTTCACAAGACTATGATACTATTTAAGATAATGTTTTTCTAAACATAATTAACTGAAAGAGTGTCACGTCACATATTCATATGTGTTTCCGTATCCTGATAGGACTTAGTATGTTTTTTTTTAACTAGATGCCAAAAAATTGATTAAGTTGAAAAAATTTAAGATACAAACTTCAAGTTAAAATGCACAGGTAGGGATACTGGGATTAGTGGTGGTGGAGAATGGGCACTGGTGGAGCGATCGGTTCTCAATCATTGTATAACTGAAACCCAAGCACAAAAATTTGTAAGTCTACAACTGTACCTCATGGTGTTTCACTAATAAAAATTTAAAAAATAAATAAAATGCACAGGTATAAGACTGGAAGTTGAGCAGGTGTAATTGTGTAATTTAAGGGACAAATTGTGATTAGTTTATATTAATTTAACAGAGAAAAGCAGAGAAAGCAATGAAATACAGATCAAGAGATGCTATGGATTTATTTGTGACTGCTTCTACAAATATAGCAATGCATATGATCCAAAAATTTTTATGGAAAATTATCAACTAGAACAAAATGTGTGGTAGAGAATGAAACTGAGAGCTGGCCATGCTGTAAGAACATGGGGTCCAGAACATCTGTCTTGTTTCATGCTGTAGGAAGCCCCAGCAACACCATCTGAGAGGATGTGGAATATAGAGCTCTCTGGAATAGGATACCCATATCCATGAGCTACAAATCTCAGGTAAAGCAGAATGTGTGGCTTTCTCATTCTTTCACACAGGCTTTCTCTTTCTCCAAATGCATATGGATCAGAAGCAAATCTTCCGGCAGGGCTGATCCCCATGAGGCAGCACTAGGATGATGCAAGAGAAACTCAAATTGATACTTCTGCTGACTCCATCTCCTGTCTAGACTGGCATTTTATGCCAAGAAATTAGAAAAACTGCACTTAATGACACCAAATCTTATAGTGCTGGGATTTCAGGAAGTAGTAGAAAATTACCATCTGGGAAAAAGCTGACACTGGTTTTGGGAACAGTATATGCCTGAAACTCTACTATGAGTCATGTAAATCATTATGCCTTAATAATACAAAAAAAAAGCATGTTAAAAAAAAGAAAAAAATCACCTAAAAATGAACATTAGAAGAGTGCTAAAATTGCTAAATATTTTCTAGATTTAAATAATCTCCTAATGATATTTGCAGCTGACAAGAACTTTCTGTTTCTCTAGAAAAATATGACTAATTTTAAACAAAATAAACAGGCTTAAACTAACAACGTTTTAGAAATATAAACTACAAATATTATTTTATTAGAACAAATAAAAACTCTAAAATAAACTATATGAAGAACTTAACGTAAAATTTAGAAGCAAAAATTGAATCAGTTCAACACTGTAAACACATTGCAAACACTAATGATTCAGAAAAACAATTCAGTTGCAGAACTATTTCATAATATTGCTGTAAAGTAATTTGTAAAGTACTAGAAGCTTGTGCAAATCATTACTAAATTGTTCCTTAAAATAAGAATAATTTCCAAGCATAAATATCATGAGGAGAATATTACAAAGGTGAAGAGTTTTGATGATAAAATATGTTAAAGGATCTCGCCTTTCAAAAATAAAAATTAAATATAAATAAGAAATTTGAAAATCCAACAGAAAGTAGTGCTTTTCAAATCAATGAAGCACTATTATTTCAATATAAAAGTAAGCATGTAATATTAAAAAAGTTGAAGTCATGAAGTTTCCTTATAAGTTCATGGACATAGCGAGTATCATGCTAAATAAAATGAGTCAGAAAGAGAGGGACAGACATAGAATGACTGCATTCATTTGTGGACTATAAAGCAACATAATATGAGACTAACTCTCAGGGACCATAGAGAAAAGAGCCAGGAGGATCACTCCACAGTTTGGAAGCCTGCGTTATGTACTGGGGGAGAAGGCAGTTGGGATAGAGAAGGAACTACTAAGTCAATGATGCTTGGAGGGATCTCTTGGGATGGGAGATATGTGCTGAAAGTAGACTAAGGACCAAACATGATGACCTTTCAGTATCTTTATTGCAAACCATGATACCAAAAAGGAGAGAGAGAGAGAGAGAGAGAGAGTAAGAAGGCAGGTGCCTGCCACAGAGGCAGGAGGTGGGATTGGGTGGGGGCGGTGGGAGGGATACTGGGGACATTGGTGGTGGAAAATGCACACTGGTGGGCGGATGGGTGTTCAATCTTTGTATGACTGAAACTCAATCATGAAAGCTTTCTAACTGTATCTCATGATGATTCGATTTAAAAAAAGTAAGCATGTACATAAATATTTTTCATGTCTAAGAGATACATAAAGATATATTCTACCCCAATAGGAACTAAGAAATCATACTTAAAAAAACACTGAGAAAATGTTCTATGTCACCAAAATGCTTACCATGATTAATAACATTATCTGTTGATAATATTACAGTTAGCAAAATTATCTCCCATATTGCTGGCCAAGATGTACAACCTTAATGGAAGTGTAGAATTATGTATTTTAGACATTTGTTCTAAGAACCTTTACACAAGTTCATAATTCACTTCTTTTGATATTCTAATTCTAAGAATTTATCTAAACAAAATAATGAAACCAGTTCAATTATTTGGGTGCACATATCAACACTGAAAGTATTTTCTGAATGCCAGCTCTGTGCTGGGCTCCTGTGTTGGCAGTCATGGTGAATAAAACACGAGGCTCTGGCACAGTGACCATCATTGCTTTAAAAAAGAATGTATGTCAGTGATATTTCAAGGTTGCAAATCCTGAAAACAATCAAAGGTGAGTGAATAAATACATTGTAAGTTCATGCAATGGAATATACTGGAAGGGCATTAAAACAACTTTTGGAAAAATTTATTAATGACATAGGAAAAAGATTATATAAAAACATTAAATGTAAAATACCACAAAGCAAAAACAAATGTATATTATTTCCACAATTATGTGCACTATATATCCACCAAATGGAAGGAAATATTTAAACATGTTCACATAAGCTATCTCCATATTTTTCTAAAAGTCTATAATCCTGGCTTTATTCTAAGTTTTCATCACTTACAACTAGTACATGATCCAGGAAAAATCAGTTAAATTTTATACACTTTAATTTTCTAATTTTTAATGGAACTATAATTCTGGTCTTGACTCCATACCAGAATTTAAATTAAATAATGCATAATGGGTACTTCATAAGTTGAAAAACTCTTAGTAAATATCACATACTATTACATGCTTAGCAAGGAAGGATAATTATTTCTGAAAGCCAGATTCCTTTCTTTCATTCTTCTATATCTCATCTTTCTTTCAAATTCCTATTGCACACACTGTTTGTTTTTTCAAGGTTTTCACAACTGATCCAACTTGCCCTCAATGACTCATCTCACCTCTCACATTTATTATAGACACTACATGAATGAAAAATTACTGATCGGATATGTCTCATCTGTAAACTTTTTTTTTGTTTCAATCCAAAATCATTTGTGAGCTCCAACAATGTGAGTTCTTAGAAAATTATGAAACTGCCATTTTCTTCATTCCCATCTCAGTCTTTTATTCAAAGAATGTAGTGATAGGGGTGGCAGGAGGGAAATCGAGGACATTGGTGGTAGGAAATGTGCACTGATGAAGGGATGGGTGTTGGAACATTGTATGATTGGAATTCAATGATGAACAACTTTGTGACTGTATATCTCATGGTGATTCAATTAAAAAGAAAAAAGGATGTAGGGACATAACAAATAAACCATCCGAACATCAACAGAGCTTAAAAATTACCCCATAATCCTTTTTCATTTTATATTATTTTTTGCTTTTTGGGTCACACCTGGAAAATGCACATTGGGTTATTCCTAGCTCTGCACTCAGAAATTACTCCTGGCAGTGCTCAGGGGATGATAAGGGACGCTGGGAACCGAACCTGGGTCGGCCACGTGCAAGGCAAACGCCCTACCTGTTGTGCTATCGCTTCAGCCCTCCATAATCCTTTTTATGGGTGATATCTGGGTCTTAAATATTCCCATCACCGTTACATTTTAACTGTGATCTCTTTCTGCAATGAAGACCACTCACCTGATGCTTCATGAGGCACTGTTCCCAACAAAGGGACATTAACGGTTGGATCTGCCATGATGCCTTTATCCAAAGAGCGCAAGGACAGGAATTCATAGAAGTATTCTGCCTATAACAAAAGGCATTGACAGTAAGTGCCATGGAAACCACAGAGGGTGAGAAGGCATTTTCCAACCCATAACTTCTCTGCAGGGAGAGCGACATTTTTTACTTGAGGAACTCTGCAGCATACATCTGAAATATGGCATAAGCACAACTCTTTTGGTTTTTAGAACTGTAGAGTTAAACCGTTTGGAGAGAAGTACACTTAAAAAATTCATCTTAGCTTTGCCAATAATGATTTAATTTTTATAATGTTGAAATGAGTATTTTGACCAGAATTTGGAAAGTTGAAATAAAGGGTATTGAAAATAATAACCAATCAGTAAATGAAGATATGAAAATCTAAAGTCTACTAATTGTGGCTGTTAACATTTATTTCCTTTGAAAGGTTTATATCTCAGGTCAATTTAAACTAACTGGAGAGAAAATTCTAATACAATATTGACTACTAAAGTATGACAAGTCACAAAACTTTACATTATAAGCTTTTTTTTCACTTTGTCTACTGTTTGGTTGAAAAAGTGATTTCTGCTACTTGAACAGTCATGAAATATTGAAAGTAGTAAGGTATAATAATCTCCCCATGAAGTTTTGCTGCATAACTGCTTCTGAACCAGGTTACTAAAATGGATTTCTAATGAAAACAATATGTTCTTGCTTAGGAATAAAAAAACAATCAATAAATAGCACAGATACTAAAATTTGAGACAAACTGAGTGATGCTGCAGTTATCTGTAGAGACATGCAAAATTTGAATGAGCTAATTAGTAAAAGAAGTTACAAAAATATGAGCATATAAGAGACTTAAAAGAGATGACAGTCTCTTTTTATATGCAGTATCGAATTTATTTTTCAACATGGAAGATACTAAGACATACATTAGTATATGATTGCACGACTAAATTGCAATGTCAAATGTATTTAGCATTGAGAACTTCCTGTGAGACTAATCACATAGAAAAGATCATCTCACCTTCTATCAGGACCCTGTCAACGGCTGCAATGAGTCATAAAACACTTTCTGGTTTCATTAGATTGAAAGGAACACTTTCTTTGACTAAATTCTCACTACAACCCCTTCCCTGAGTTGTGACAGTAATTGTAGAAGGCCACAGTGCATACTCTAGGCGGTAACAGAGTTGCATGAATTAATTTTACTAAATTCACCCACTTGAAGGACACTAAGAATAAAGGGTCCTCAGGCGATTCCTACCCATTCTAAGAGTAGGCAGTGGTTTGCAAGAAATCTGATAAAGGCAGAGTCCTCAGGAGAGATAATTCAATTTAGAATAAATTCAAGAGAATACATAACCCAGTGACTATTAACAGTGGACTAATTAGATCTCATTTGATGATCTTTGGTGTTTCATTTATTTATTTTTAAGTACACTTAATAATCATATTTCTATTTGTTTACTTATTTGTGGCACCAGGGATCAAATCCAGAGGCTCATACATATAATGCATTCTTTCTACTGCTGAGTCATTCCTAAACTCTAGTGTTTTCACTGACTTATATCAGATGCATTTCCCACTAGATATTAACAATTAATATTTACCACTGAACATTTTATTCCAAAACATACTTTAGTTGGCATAAAAAATATTTATTCTTGGATAGCTGAGATCAGCACCAGGAGGATTACTCCATAACTTAGAGGCCAGCCGGGTATCCTAGAGGAAAGGGCTATTCAGATAGAGAAGGGAGCACCAAATAAAGGATGTTTGGAGGATCCTCCCAGGAGGGGAGATGCATGTCGAAAGTAGACTATGGACTGAACATGTTTGCCACTCAATGCCTCTTTTGCAGACCACAACACCCAAAAGGAGGGAGAGGACACAGGGGATTGCCCTGCCACAGAGACGGGGGATGGGGGGATGGGGGTGGGAGGGATATTATCCATGGTGGTGGAAAATGGGCACTGGTGGAGGGATGGGTATCTGATCATTGTATAATTGAAACCAAAGCACAAAAAATTGTAAATCTACAACTTTAAAAAAAATAAAATAAAATAAAGGGGGGAAAAAAAAATATTTATTCTTGGATGCTCCTATAGTAAATAAGATTGGAGTTAATTATGTCAACAAATACTACAATAGAATCTAGCAAAGAAAACACAACAAACACCTGTGTGATGTGTACCATGTGCCAAACTTAATCTAAATATTTGAATTTACAATACATAGAAAACACTGGAAAAAGACTTATATTGTCTGACATATGTTGGTCAGTCACTGCATAAATCACTCTCAGCAACTTCGAGAGCACCTTGAATGTAATTTGCAACTTACAATTTGAAGCTGCAATCTCACAATTGCAATCTCAATTGCAATTTACAATCTTACCCCAAACCTCTATAAAGAGTCTCCTTGTCAAGAATTCACTGACCATCTTGTGAAAACCCAAGCTAGGTCTCCATACTGAAGACCCCGGCTCCAATTGTGACCACTACATAGTTACTGTAGATTAAAAAAAAAATCAGAAAACTCAGCAAGCACTAACCAGCCCAGCCGGATCCTCAGAAAATGGTTTCAGTAACACCAGCGTGATATATAACAATTATCACAAATTGACTTTTTATATATCTAAGTTTTAATAACACCATTTTCCTTTGTGTTGTAACAAACAATGTGAAGTAAATTTGTTTTTGTCTATAAGGTAGCAGTTTGGGGTCGTGATGGGAAACTGGAGACCTCGGTGGTGGGAAGGTTACACCGATGGTGGTTTTGGAACGTTAAATGCCTGAAACAATTGTATTATGAACAACTTGGTAAATTATGGTATTACAATAAAATTTTTTTAAATAAGGAGATTTAGTATTTTTTTAAAGGAAGGAAATGAGCATCAGTTTCACAGGTACTTTACAACAAAAACACTGATAAAGTAAAATACTTTATTATCCTATATTATCTAAAACACATTATCATATAATGCTCCATTACCTCTTTGAACTTTACCATGTTATAAATTAAGCCTACATTTATATGAGTAATATATACAAGTAATATATACATGTTTATACAAGCTAATATAATTTCAGAAAATTTTTAAAATCATTTTTGTTTTTGATCTGTGCAACAGTAAAGTGGGTAAAACAATTGTCTTGTCCTCAGCCGGCCAGGGTTCAAATCCCTGCCATCCTGTTTGATCCCCCAAGTCTACCAGGAGTGATCCCTGAATGTAGAGCCAGGAATATGGCTCTGAGTACTACTGGGTGAGCCCACCCCAAAATAATTATAAAAATTTTTTTTGCATTGAGTTAAAGGACAAAAGAATAGACACAAAGAATAAAATAACGATTGTATAGGATTGATGACAACAGTTCTTTTTCTTTTTTCCAAGTTTTCTACATGTGATTCCATGCCTTTCCAATGAAATACATTTATTTAAAAACAAAAATTAATCATGTGCCCTGCTTTCAGATCTATGTGCTAATGATAACCACTGGCTCTATTTGTATAATTATATGATCATAGATGAAATATTCTTCTTGGACTTCTTGTTAGTGTTGCTGCACTCATGTGACAATTTGATTGAAATCTTGCATGTCTCTTTCAAAGTGTGCTTTATGAAAACAACACTCAGTACTAAAGTGGCTTCTGTAAGTGTCTACGAAAACCTTTTGATAATGTTCAAAGAGTGTGGAACCAAAAACACTTCACTCAGAGTCCAGAAACATAATTTCACAGAGCCTTCAGATTTCTGGTTGTTGCTTTTGGATATGGCAACATGAAAAAGACTGGGAATCCTGGGATCCATAACACAGTATCAGAAGGTTCATAATCAGCAACAACTTGACTGCTCAACTTGCTATGCCTAGGATTAATGGACTCCTCTGAACAGCTAATACTTTGATCTTATCAATAACAAATTTCATATTATAGCTTCTCTTTGATTTCTTTGAGAATCAACAAACATATGACTTTTCTGTTGCAACTCTAAGACCTGTATCACAGAGTACAAATGGTTCAAAAATTCTTGAGTCTTATCAGCAAGAGGAAGTTGCTGGATTAAAATGTTTTTCATTTGTCTTTCTTGTTGAAAATAATTATGCTGTTACTTCTGAAATATATCATTTCCTTTGTACTTGACCGATTTTTAAAAGGTTTATCCATGCCTTTAAAAAAGGCATGTTTGCATTGCCTTTAAAAAATTGTCAACTTGAAAACCATTTATAAACGGACCCAATCTTTTGTCTCTGATCTTGACACTAACTTCTTTCAGAGTTTTGTGTTGTCATTACAGAGATTCCACCCATAATATTCCATCCATTAATACATAAATATTTCTGCAAGTAAATTATGATCACCGTGAGGAAGAAATAAAATATTTTCTTCATGTAATTTAATGGCTCAACTATTTCCTACAGTGTCACAGAAACAACTGATGAAATAAATGATAGATTTATAATGACATATTTTAACGTCTAGCCAGGAATTTCTGTTTTTACTTTATTTATAATATAATAAATATTCCTAGTCTCAAGATTCTCTACTGGAAAAACTTATTTGGGGGCAAATAAAACCTAAATTCTATTGCCAAAGAGAACAGAGAGCTCTCTTTAAAGTTTGGGAACAAGTTACACAAACTGTAGATTTATGACTTAGATAAAAGGAACTCAGAGCATAAACTGTAGTAGGGATGTGGCCCTTTGGAGGGTAAGAAACCTCTATTTGGAAAAAGTACATTTTGTTTCATTAAACGACACTAGTGGAAACTGAGGTAGATGTGAGTAGAGTGCTTACTTGGGAAACCCATGAAAAGATCGCCTTGTATTCAAACAAAGAATGAGTCTATTCAGGAGAATAATTCACTTCTAAATTAAGTTGCTAAAAAATTGTTTTGGCCTGATTTTCCACACAGTAAATTTTCTTTTCATGGAGAAGTACAAAAGACACCCAAATATTATCAAGAGAGGAGTGCTAGAGGCCATTTATCCTGCTTTCAAGCAAGTTGGCTGAATATTAAGGTCGTTCCTTCCAGAAAAGATGAAGACATCATTTAAG